TCAGTCTCATCCCGGAACTTAGCTAAACAATCCACGCACCTGACGTTTTCAGGGCCTTACACAGGCCGTTTGCAAGCCGATTGTCCTCTGCGCGATGGCTCAGTGGTTAGAGAGCGAATTTACTGATCGGAAGGTTTGTGGTTTGAACCCGTCTAGGATTTGGCCACCTGACAGTATCCCAGCCCTCGCGCTTCCTTCCGGTGGCATGGCAACTAGGATTCTTTATTTTTTCGTCCCCTGCGATTGGTTAACTGAACCCCGGTTAACTGAACTCCACTCATCTTACAAAAAGTGAACACTAATCAAACGTCCGTTCTGCATTTCAACAGATCACTCCATTATATCTGGCATGTAAACATGGTCATGAATCGGTTGTCCAACTACTACTGCAATGGGGAGCTGATCCGGGACTCAGAAAGCTGATCGATGAAGCTATGCCAGACTGTGGACCGAATGCGCTGGACGTTGCGATTGCGAACGGGCACAAGTGAGTTCACGGTTTGCTATAGAGAAGACTGTGGCTAAGCCAGATAGCATTAGTGAACTTATTGAGTTGAACCATTCTACTGGGACTGAACTGAATTCAGTTGAATTAAGCTGAATTCAACTGGACTGAATCCCCTGGCTCAGCGAACAAACATGCAACTGTCTGGGTTCACTGTGCTCATATTCTATTCAAAAGTATTTGAAATGCCCTGTGTTGAATCTATTTTGACAGTCTGATAAGTCCCCCATCTATCTGGTCACTCCACCCGTTTTTCTCATCCGGACCGCCAATTGCCTTGCCGTAAAAAGGTCGCTCCGTCCGACTCTGATATGTGTGCGTGTGACTGTGCAGTGAGTGTGCGATCATCTTGTGCATCTCCAGACATACTAAGCAACATGTTGAGTGAACTTTTTGTCCAGGATGGAACTTCAGCTCACATCAAGCTGAACTGCAGAAATAAAGACAAAGATTCACAGTCCACTGAATGCTTGCATTCAAAGGAATTCAAATCACTTTCATCATCTGTGAGGACGCGCCACCTTTGGATTCGAGGACAGCATTGTAAACAGATAAAACAAATACCCGATTAGTTGATAATCAGTACCACTGAATCCAACTTGATGACGATAACGCATGGTAATTTATCCATTCATTTGATCAATCCGCCCATGTACTTTTGGTCTCCACTTGTTTTGCCCATCCGTACCAGCCGTTCAATTTGTCGCAAAGGCTGTGTGTGTGTGTGTGTGTGTGTCAGTCGACCTACTTACCCATGCATGTTCCTGCCGCTCCTGCTAAGCCCACCCTGACTTGTTCTGTCGTGATTTCTGTGCGATCGCACCGCCAACCAGAATAACGAGACAAGCTTCATAGTGGATGACCACATTTGCCTGGTGTGTGGAAGCTGACACTGCACCATGCCGACCTGTGACAGATTTACCCGCTTGTTTACGTGGATACTTTTCTTTAAGTAGTACGGTAGACTTTTGAACCCAAGGCTTCTCTTGATATTCGTACCCGCCAAACCTATGCGTGACTCGAAGTCCCATATCCGGACTCCTGCCACTCTGGTTGTTCAGTTAGTGGCGACGTGAATGATATATCACCACGAAGTGAGTTGATATGACCAGTGCATCAATGATTGTGTGCTGAGAAGTGGTGCACAGTTAATCCATGTCATTCTAAGAGAACGTATACTAGTATAGCGGTCTGTACTACTGATGAAACGGGTGAGTATTATCTGGTCAGCTAGATTGAGGAACCATCTCTGTATGCGAGTGAAAGGTCGAAGTAGAATTTATTGGACGGGTTTTCTCATAAATGTCAAGCACCATCCAGGAAGATCCAGCAGGAAGCTTGAGGATCCTATCTTTTTCATAAACTCTGGTCTTTACTTTCGTCTCTGATTGTAACCGCTTCGTTCGAGGGTGCCCTTTCTTACCCTGGCAGATTTGCCCTTGAGACGGAGAGGCAAGGCCGAATGTTTCGTCTACAGAGAGCTGGTGGTTAGAAAATTTATCGCACATCCTGTATACCTACGGTTTCGTCCACAGGCTTAAGATGGTTTCGTGAACTTGGGCAGCAATTCATTTCGTCCAAAATTCCATCCTAGAGAAGATGGTTCGTCCTGGACCCAGTTAACCTTGAACTTCAAGCTTCCATGCGCGCTGCCTCAGCCTATGCTCGGGAGTCATTATCATTTGAACCGCATTGCAAATGTGATGTGTTCTAACCAGCAGTTCTGTTCACACACCATGACCCATTTAACTCAACCTGCTATGATTATGCTTAGTTCAGAGGAACGTGCTTATGTTTCGGCATCATAAACCATTACCGTAACAGTCTACCAATGATTTGAAAAGTGTCACTGAACATTCAGATCGTGTTTTGTCCTCTTGGGGGACGGACCAACCAGAATGTACAAGGGGACAACAGCAGGGCAGGCCAAGCTCCAAGGTCGCGTGGTCGTCGATCAATCAGAACACAGGATAACAGAGCAACCAACGGAATCACCCGACCGAACAACCAATCGTGATCGTAGGTCTGCCCCGGGATATCAACACAAACACACGCAACACTATTTAACGCACAGCTATCCGCCAGAATGTACCCATTATTTACCTAGCAGAACTTAATAATCTAAATATTGTGGAAGACCTTTCGGCCATCGGTTTCGTCCTTCTTGGGGCTTTCTTGGGGTTTAGTCTCTGACTTTCCATCGATCTAATGTTTTAATTGGCCATCAGATTGTACGCAGTTGGAAGGATATGTTCACCTGCAAATCGCACGGGTGCTTTCAGCAGACTCAACCGATTTCCAGCTGAACATGTTGTTTATGATGGTCTCCGTCAACTGAATGTGAATGGGACTGGATAATGTTGTGAACCACAGTCTCCTTAATGCCTTGAACCTTAATGCTATAATGCCTTGAACCTTAATGCTATAAACCTCGGTCTGGATAACCGATTGATAGCCTGGTTCGCTTGGACAAACCAGAAAAAGTCAAACGAACATACGAACCGGCTGATCTATTGATCACTGTCGCGTACAAGCGGGTCAAAAAAGTGATACTAAGAATACAACTCATCTTTCAAGGACGAGTGGAGAACAACCAATGACATTTGTTTCAACGACAACGGGTATTCCATTGGCTGTTATGTAGTCCCGTTACGTTCGGAGCTGGTTCTCCTAATAGATAATATATCTGTTATAATTATTAAATCTAAATTTATATTAGATTGGAAATGTTTTATTTCAAAAAAGTAGTAAAACTACCACTCCACGTAAAAATCGGCATATTTTTCTGGAAAAAAACGACTTTTTCAGACGTGGACCGGGAATTCAGCATGTGCTGTCACCGGCTCGTATAAAATTTAGTTTGATTTCTGCCGAATGTTTAAGAATTCATTCAGTTCTGCAAGCCAAGGTGACTGTGCCATGTATTATGCCTACCGAGATAACCGCTGTTCTCCGAGGGATGCCGTTTGTACCATTCATCTTCCAGTATGGGGTCGACGTGGGTCGCCCTTCGCTTGGCTAGAGATACCGAACCATAAGGGGCCCAATCGAAGTCAGTGGCTTTCACGCTGTCATTTTCTTCCCAGCTTGTCTGACTCGGTGCTGAAGTTGCCAGCACCTCGAACTTTTATGTTGGGCTGGGTCCCCTTCCCTGAAACATCCCTTTCTCTTTTCGGATATAAGAAAAAACTAAAACACTCAGCTGTAGCACCCTTTCGGTGCATAGCTGCCATGCCACCCAAAGGAGGCACGAGGGCTGGTATAGTGCCAGGCTGACCAATCCTAGACAAAGGAAGTCGAGAGGTAGGAGTCGGGTTCGAACCACGGACCTTCCGGGCAGTAAATTTGCGCTCTAACCACTGAGCCATCTTTCTGTCATGAATATGTCTTCAAATAAATTTATATGTCTATAGAACCATGGAGCACCATTGTTCTCGTCTGCTGTTGCGTGGACTTAGATGGTGTTGATATTGGGGGATTCAGTTTGTCCTTTTCACTTTTTCCTGTTTTCAGAGCTTGCGCTCGCACACTACTACAAAGCTCAATGTGGAAAAACGCTTTGCGAAATCAGACTATTGGGCCGGATGGTGTTATTCAGACACCGATGCGTAAATTGATATCTCACATGCCAGGTGAGTTTTCTTGGAACTTACTTAATTGCCAACCGCTTGTCATGAAGCTATCTGAAAAGGTTATGCATAACTGCACCATCTTTTTGCAGTCTCACATTTTGACCGAGTTAACTGTTTCAGTGATCACAGTTCAGTAATACCACTGAGTGGTCTTGTTCAACTACACTCCTCGAAATCGTGCAATGTGATTATCGAGCAGTACGTTTCAAATCACTGATCAATGTTCATGCCCTCGGTCGATACTTGGTCGACTTGACTTCTGGTTTACTTACTGTATTCCAATTGGTTAAAAGGGGATGTGAATCAGATTCAGGCGTGTTCTAGTTATGCGAACTTTTCGTTAAATAGTTTTGGTAAAAATGAAAGGCCTGCTTTCTTAAAGTCGTTCAAGGATGGATTAGGACAAGCGTTTTATATAACTTGCTCAGGAATTTGTGGTCTCCGGTTACTTTCATATATGTCTATCAAGTACCTCCAATCTTGGCATCTTGCTACCCTAGCCTGGATCGATTGTATAGGCTGCTCATCAGTAGACCGGCTAAAGTGGGACAAAATATGCAACGTCGGTTCTATTCTGACCAAACTAACCTGAAGATTTCCTCGACAACAAACGACTCCTCGAGATAATGCATTTCCGGGATAATTTCTGATAATCCGTTCATGCCACCACCTCTTGGTCACCAGTTACAACTCCACGATCAAATCAAAGCTTCCAACTGCCTCGTACTCTCGCCCACTCGCGATTCTCGAACCGTTTCTTCCAGAACTTCGAGTTCGCCGATGCATTTATTGCGCAAGATCAATCCAACTTATAAAATCACTTGCATAGCACCTTGGTTTTGGCGGGAGATGACACCTGGAGCCCAACTGAATCTCTCGTTTTTGGTGTGCCTAAGGTTCTGTGAAAACGATGGTGTCCGCGAGAGAGGAAGACCTTTCAAGGAAGGTCGTTACTCGTTTTCACCTCGTTCGAATCTGCTGTTTGGTCAGGATCGGTCCTCTGCTAGTGGTTACATCGCTCAGCCAGGTGCTGTACTCCCACACTCACATCACTCATTTGAAAAGTTCTGTCCTGTCCATGATTAATTACTCTGGTGAATCCACATCAAAGAGGGAAAGCAGTGCACTGGAGTTTTGCCCTTATAATAGATTATCAGTAGTACATGTCTTGGCCGTACGGGGATCTGAATCCAGGTCACCGAAGATGCGTGGTAAGCTTCCACGTATATACTCATTTGCATAACTGTTTGGTTTGGACTCGACTGGAACGCCGCACATTCAGTTGAGAACAACATCATAAACGAGCAATTCAGCAGCATTCCAGGTGAGTCTCAAGTCAAAACCAAATAGGTGGGCAAACGAGTGGATTCCGTTAAATTCGTGTAATTTGGGTTCAAGTAGAAAACCAGGTTGACGGAAACTAGGGGACACTACGCCTGCCTGGTGAGCCGCAAGAAGGGCGGAACTGTCTGTGCGCTGTTGAAGAGTTTTCAGAAACCTTTTGAGTAGTGAATTACAATGCTAGGTGAGCCTTTTACCACATGAACTATTACACCCAAACAAGCAAACACCTTCAAGCTTCAACAGGGTGATTGGTTTACCGGATGGTTCAAACATAAACCCAGCAAATGCCCTACTTTTATCGATCGGCTGGCCAGCCCGACAGGACCTCCCAATCCGGTAGCAACACGGAAGCTACTAGACAATTTTTCATTCGTTCTCGAAATTGGGCAAACTACTTCTATCGTTCAAAGGTGAAAACTTCCGCCCACTCAGACGTGTGCGCTGGCGGAGTGCGAATAACACGTTCCTCCAGTATTTTGGATTCCTGAGGGCCCGACACAGCCAGCGTTTTGCACTGCTCATCAACTCCAGTAAGCGTGGAGTAACTGCGTTGGGGAAGAAGAGTGACCGCTCGAATGAGAGAGATGAGAATGTGATTTCAACAAGTCGGGCAGCCACTTGGGACTAATTTTCCATTCCAGTTTATTTCATCGAACCATTTGAGCAAACCAATCGATTCTCTTCTATCCATTCACATGTATTCGGGTCATAGAGTTTGTTTCATTTGTTCCCCGATCATTGGCCTCTCTTTAACTCATTATGTGGATTATTGATCAGGGGATGTTTTGGGTACATCTTGTTAGGGAACTTTTTTTACAATTGACGTGTCAGATAAAGACAAAACTTGAAAGCTTCTGCTACATCCACTTTCTTTGGACAGCACTCACGACAGCACGTTATGCTCCCAATAACACTTGGCCTTGTCTTGGCCATTTCAGTTTTCTCCATCCCATAACATGCCGTTGTTTGGTTCACACTGAAAACTGCAGATGTTCGGTCACCATCTGCTTGCGAAGCGATTCATTACGCAACTGGACACAGCTACCAATGGAATAACCGTTTTTGTTGAGACCGCTTTCATTGGTTGTTCTTCACTTGCCAGATGAGTTCTATTTCTAGTATCACTTTTTGGCCCGCCTAGAACTTTCCACGTGAGCTTTACGCACAGCCCGTTATCGGCTGCACATGACACGCCTGTAAGCGTCAGTGTTCAATGAATCAGCTTACTCGCACGTTCATTGGCTCTCTGGTCTGGCTAATCGCATCAGGCCATCAAGCGCCTGTCCAGACTCGGGTTCACGGTATTAAGAAGGCATTAAGAAGTCTTTGGCCCGATCGAGATCGCCTTCGGTCAGTGAGGTGACAAGTGTTGGAGATTTGTTTCATCCTTACTGAGAATCATCAACTGGGCACAATTTAACAAAATGTGAGTCTCGAACCCGCGTCTCTCCGACCACTGGTTGAACACCTAACCATTTGGCCAAGAGCGCCTGAATATTAGTGTGGCTGACTCGCACTTAGTCAGGGCCACTAATCACAAAGGCCACATCACGTGGCCATATATTGATTGACGTTTCGGGTGACAAGTGCTCAGATGAAAGTGAGGGTTAGTCACACTGGTACCCAGTCAAACGTTTAGGTGTTCAACCGCTGGCCAGAAGGCCACTGATACGAAACTTTCGGAGGTCGTTGAGATGCGCACTGTTTATGATTCCCAAACAGAATGAAAGAGCTTCATTGCTTTCTGGACTTTCAGTAAAGATGAACTTCACCAACAATCTCAATTGAAACTTAAAGAATCTAGTTACACAACCATCAACTCATTATATTTCTCAGAATCATGAATTGAGGAGAGAGACTAGAACAAATCAATGATAGATCAATGGAAAGGGAAGTGCAGACTGATGCAAGTCGAAGATGGTGTAAGCTGTTTGTCGTTCATTGCAGACTTGGCCGAATACGTTCTGGATCGGTGCATTACAACATCGGTCAGTCAGAACGTGGAATGGCACAATTTCGAATTCATCGAGGACACCTACGCACATTGGTGTAAACAAGTCATCTGGCGAGAACACAAGTCAAGTTTGGCCACATCGCCTGTGGAGTTTGTGAGCGGAAAAATTCTACAGGCTAACAAGTGGGTGAGTATGAAGGAATCCTATAACCCTTTGGCCACCTTCGATCGTATACTTATTTTAAGTCTACTGGCTTTTAGTTTGTTTTACGGAAGTCTGTCGCGTTCAACTAAAACAACTAACAAGTTCTGACTTAATCATTTAAGACCCCGGCCGGGCCTTTTAGCTTCATTTCTGTCTACTTCTGTTCGGTGCTCTAGGGGTAGTTTACTTTGAACCTCCAAGTGGAACCCGGGCGGGGGTTAATATCACACGTGTAGCTTCTAAAACGGAGTGAACGGCTATGAGCTAATGAAATGGTTTTCAAACTTATGATGAGACATTGAATTCCGATACAGCATACCACTTTTTCAAACCTCGGACGTCTGGCGTACGACGTGAGCGTGCTGTCACTATTCCACCGGTCGGATGGGAGTAGGTTGGCTTCGCTTTATTAAGTGTGAACAGGCTTGATTGATTATCCTGACAATTCAAATAGTCACGTGGTTAGTGCGCTCGTCGTCTCGTTTAGCTAGACGCCATAGGAGTACAATTTTCACTGTATCCCTGCGGAGTATGCTTGTATTTCTAACCCTAGGATCGCCAGTCCACAGCGTACGTGAACTGAGCTCAGAAAGCTAAATCCATCCAACTTGTACAGAGAAACGTAGGACATTCGAGAGTAGGATTTTCGGCCCCCACCCTCTTTCGAATAGCCGATTCAACCTGTGTTAACCAGAAGGCGGAAGGCTCACCGATTGTTGGCAATTTGGAAAATGTCACATCACCCCTAGTACTGATCACGTGATTACCGCAGACAGACTTCTCCTCCAGGGAAGGGAATTTAGTGTTACCTGATTTTGCGTGTTCGTTTTTTTTAACCATTTTAGGATGTCCAGCTGCAGAATATATCAAGTCCGACAAAATTGAGAAATCGCACCTCCGTTGATGACATCATACGTTTGGAGCCGAACCGTCCCTATACAAAAGACAGCAGTGTATTGAAGAGCAACCATCCTCTGATGCTGATGGTGAGTTAGCGGCTTTTCGAGTGTAGACCAGAGTCAATGCAATGCACTGGTGCCGTTGGGGAAACACGTGTTAGTGCTCTAGTTGTGATGTAATTAAGTTGATTATCAAAAGGTAACAAGCACTAACAAATGTCTGTCTTACTAGAATGTGTGGATACAATTGTTAGGTGCAGCTGATAAAAATAGATACAATGCGAACAGTGGAATAGGTCAAAAAGTCACTTGTCGTTTTGAGGACACTTGTTGAGAGTGCTTGAGTGAAGTTCCGGACGCGGGACGGGTCTTCTCTGCAGTATGGCTGCTACACGTGTTCCGTCGTTGTCCGTGGAGACTTGCGGAGCAACCGAGAGGGTACAACGGCCTCAAGCTAATTTATTGAGGGGCGCTGTCTGAATTTGGTGCAAGGTCATCTCGCGCTACCTATTGAGGGGGGGGGCGTTCTCTGACTTTGCTCCAACGCTGTCTTGTGCTGTCTGGCTTTGATCCAGGGCTGTCTGATCGCCGTCTAGTGATGTTGAAGGTCTCAGTAGATTCCGGCATTCTGTGGTTCCCTTCAGGGATCTGACCTTTCTGGTCTTGATCGCTGTAATAATTGGAAGCAACACCAGATAGGGACCTTGGAGATTCAATGCCTTACAGCCATTTCAGTTCGCTTGAATCAATTCTAGTATTGGAAGGAATAAAGGACTAGTCCAGGGAGGATAATCTGGCGCTCTCCTAACACACAAGTACCCGAGGTGCGTATACCCCCGGCACAATCAGAAAATCTGGATGAAAACCGCACAGGACAAGTAATACCGAATGCGATCTGTGCAGGCCGCGAATGAAAATTCAACTGAAGGTCTTTCAAACTCCGGCAGACTATGACGACACGGCGCTCGTCTCACAGGCGATAGCCGGTGACGCGTAACACATGGCCAGGCTATCTTAGCCTGCAGTGCATCATCACATCGCTCAAGTGTGAACACGTTCGCCTGTTCAGACGTGATAATTCAGATGCGTCCAACGTGCGTTGGTGGAATAGTGGTTGCACGCTCGCATCTCATGTCAGGAGTCCGGGGTTCAAATCCCGGCACGACCATTGGATATGCACTGCTGATGAGCTCTAATAAGAGCGAAACTCAAGTCCAGTGCTTCCCTTTGGTGTGGACTCACCGGAATAATTACGCCAGAACAGGTGGATGACCGTTCAAACAAGAGTGGTGTGAGTATGAACAAAACACCAATCCCGCAAAACTCCAACGTTGGCTCCAGCTGACTTCAGCTACAGTGTTGGGTCGTCGGTGATTGAAGACCTCAAGATGTCTTAGATCCTCCGCTTCATAGCCGTACAACAACACAACCTGCACTGCCGTCTGAGATACGCGTGCTTTGAGACCCAGTGATACGCCTTCTTCGTACCACAAGTACAACAAGTTGGTGAAAACAGTGCTAGACTTTGCAGTTCGTGCTTTCAATTCGTCTGTCACAACACCGCCAGAGCTAACGCAACTTCAGAGATACGTAGAGCGTTTTACAAACTTGAGTGTGAGCCACTGAAGTTTTAGTAGGCGGTATATTCCGCAGCACAACTCAGCACTTTGTGTAGGCGAAGCACACGCGGAACGATTGGATGACCGCCGTCAGCTTTTTAAGTAATGCTTGGGCTTCTAGCTACACTTCAACAGTGGGAACAATGTTGTTTGCTTATTCCCGGTCGACTAGGTGATCGCTCGGGACCACCGGGATTATTCGGACCTTCCACTGTTCTTCTCATTATCCCAAATAAAATGCGACGGGGGGTGTATACCCTTTTGGGACCCCAGTACCAGTGTAACGGTGATACTACTGATGGGAGTGGCATGCGAGTAGTATGTTTTCTTCTTGTAAATTCGCTTGAAAAGGGAGATCCATTGCGGATTTGTGGAGCTGCCTTTGCTTGAATTTGAGTAACACTCAACGAATATCCAGGAAAGTTCAGGAAGACGCGTTCAACTGAGGATGGATGTTCAGTTTTTGTAATTAAGATGCATAGGAGAGTTTTGCTTTCCTGTCCAATAGTCTGTAACTTGTCAGTTGGCATTTTCTAATAAATAGCTCCACAGCGAGGGCCTGGCAGAATGTGGCGAGGTTATTCACACAGCTCTTCCCCGGTCGGATTCTTACCTACCGCTCGCGGATCCCATCTTTACGCGGTTTCGTAGAACTGCGTAGAACAAGCGACACAGATAGTCTAGTTGCAATGGGGCCAAGCGAATTTCTGTATTGGCTACACTGTTTGTGAGGCCACTCTTTGGAAACGAGCAGCTTCGTCGACTAACTCCAGTTGGTTGGGACGGCCTCTTTCACTCCCTGAACAGAGCAGATGGGCGTTCGTTACGACCAGGTTTGAAAGACGAAAGGCATTCGCTTGTTTCCAAATGCAACTGGGTTTCACGATTTTGCTTCCTGATTTCATCGGTTTTTAGCAGATTTCCAAACATGGAGAAATTCCCTTAGGATGTCGTTTTTCCGAGACAGGCTTATTTTGTCGATGCAAGTGGCACTGAACTGCTTGCGTTCGATTGGTTAATTTTCCGACTTGCGAGTGCTGGCCCAATTTTTTGGGATTTCGTCAGCGGCTAAACATATGAAGGAAAATTTTAGTTTTTTTTCACTTCTGTTCTTATCAGGAAGGTCAGATTCCTGAATGTAACCTCAGAACGCCCGACACCTACTACTCCACCAAAATCTTGACAGGAAAGTCGGCAAGCATCCAGGCCAGTCAATCATTCAATCAATTCAGCAAAAGTTGATGAGTGTTCATGCACGCCACAGAAGCACGACCGAATGTGATCAGTGTTCAGGCATTTCATAGATCGATGTTGATGGGTGTTCACCAAACGCCTATCAGACAGCCTGGATTAATGTCAGAAAGTCCCCTTTAAATAGCGTGGGGCCGTTGTAACTTTTGCACTCGCACGCACTCACGTTCTCGTACTCGCTTGTTCAGAATATATCTGTTGTGTTCCCTTCTGTGAGTTTTTTCTCCGGCACTGGGCACTGGAGGGGGTTAGCAGCTGATACCACAGATTGGCGAATCAGCAGATATAACAGTTCCTTACTGTAATTACCGTTTGCACGTCTGTCGGATCTTTATACACCCATATGTAAAACCTCTTCAAACCAGATGAAACAAAGATCGGTACACCTCCGACTGGAGGATTCTTACCAATTTTGCTAATGTGTCATGACGATGAGTTGATTAACTCAGCATGAAACAGTAAATTGATTTCTCTCTGTATGAATCATGTTGAATCGATAGCCTGAGAATAGTGTAGCCATTGGTTACGTGATGACTTCAGGTGTATTGTTTTTCATGGGACTTGTTGAAATTTTACGAAAAGGACTCGTCCTCGTAGCTTCGTTTGTAAGCGTTTATCTACAGAGCACTTTGTGTTTTGGGCGCTAAATGCAGAAAATTACTTGAGGGTCGTAGTTTAGAAGTACTCTCTCCCACTTAATAACTGTTCCGCCCAAACGATCTATAACGTGAAGAGTGTCCTAAAGAACTGACAGCTCTTGAGTGATTCTGGTCTGTTGACAATCGTTAATGCGTCGGTAAAATCTATCCAGTGTGCGCTGAGACTTGTTCATACAGTTTCGAGTTAAAGTATATTAGTTTTGATTGTTCATATGTCACAAGGTGTCCCATTTATCCTAACTGATTTCAAATATTTTTCAAGGTCATGTACAATCGACCTCGCTTACTCGAGCATCGTCTCGTCACCTCATTGATGAACCAGAAATGGATGCGTACAAGCCTGGTCTACCACGCGAATTTGTTCGTCTACATACTGTACCTCGCATTCTATTCGGTTTACATGTTGAACATACACTCCGTTGATGCCCAAATATATGCTAAAAAGTGAGTAAAGTTTGCCGTACTCCGGTCGTATGTATTTTGACTTGCTGATCATCATATATGACTGTGTTGTAGGGTTTCGGTTCCAATGGTTCGAGGAAAGTTGCTTTGCAATTCAACCCGTTTTGTGAAACCGTGTAGAAATGGACTTGGTCAGCCCTCTATTCCAAAAGAATTCAAGTTCATTTCGAGTACAACTAACCTAGAGTTAACTGGGTATCTGAGACGCGAACTGCAGACGGACAGACACCGGGCATCTCAACTGTTTTGAAAGGGTTGGAAAAATTTGGTGTTGTCTCGGGCCCAATGCTCCCTGGTAGTCTCACCGCAGTAATACCATATGTTGTGCACCACAGTCTTCTTAATGCCTTCTTATTACCGCGAATCCCGGTCTGCATAGCCGACTGATAGCTTGGTGCGCTTGGCCAAACCAGAAAAAGTCAGTAAACGTGCGAACCGACTGATCTATTGATCACTGTCGCGTACAAGCGGATCAAAAAAGTGATGATAAGAATACAATTCATCTGTCGAGGGCGAGAACAACCAATGAAATCTGTCTCAACGAAGAACGGTTATTCCATTGGCTGTTACGTAGTAAAGTAATACGTTTGGAGCTGGTT